CTTTATGTGCCACTTCACGTGCATCACGGGGGCCTCGCCTCGATGCCTCGGCCCTTGGCCGACCATGTCACGCATAACATGCAGCGACGGCTCCAAACTTGAGCAGCGCTCAGTGGGTTACGTGCCACTACACGATCAGCCTACGAGCCTCGCTCGGAACTACTGTCCGATACACCGTTGGCGTCTACCAGCTCGGACATTCCAATGTCCAGCACGTTGACCGTCTCGGTCCAGTGCTCTCGCCAATAGCGCTTTTGCCTCCTAGCAGAGGTGGGTTCATGACTCGCCAAAGCTCCACCAGGAGATGTGCACGTAGCGCCCAAGGTCTTTGACCTCCAATCAATCCATAGCTCATGGTGTTCCATCCATGCCATTCCTACGATGAGGTCATACCTTGCGTCCAACTTTAAGACTAGACAGCGTTCCACGCTATCAAATTCAAGGAACTTGACTCCGAGGTCCACAGGGACCTTTTGGACCGTGACACGTGTCCCCGTCGCTAAGCTAACAGTGACGATGTCATCCAGCCGCGCTTTCAGCGCCTCATCATACAGCTGACTTCCTTTCATCGTGGAGCGTCGAGCATGATTGCTTGACGTCTTGGAATCGATGAGGATCTTCCATGGCCTTTCGAAGCCCTTTACGGTCGCCTCCACGACCAGCTTGCATACACGTGCCGTGTTCAAGAGCACAAAGCTCTTCGGGGCTGGGTCCTGTTGCTCTATGCCTCCCTGAGGCTCAACAGAACGCAGTTCTCCACAGTAGGTCGCCCCGCGCCTACTGTTTCCCCGCGATGAACTAGACTGGTAGGCGTTGGGGCGATGGTTCGAAGAACGTTGACGCGCCTTGCGCAGGAAGCAATTGTTTCGAAGGTGTTGGGTGTCTCCACCGACAAAACACCATCAAATGTGTGTATGCTGCCCGGCAGCTCGGAGCTCTGTTCCCTCGTCCTCAGCATAGCTGAGAGACGTGGGCATAGACTCGCTCGACGAGCTGTTGGATAGTGCATTCCAACCAAGCCGTGCCGACTTGAGGTTATATTCGGCATTCAATGCCACATTCACCACCTCTTTAAACGAAGACGGATACACACGGAAGACTTCCATTCTGGCCACGCCAGTGCGGAGGCCTTCCATAAAGACGGTC